TCACCTCAGCCTCCCAAAGGCGCAGGATTACAGGCTGAGCCACCGAGCCCGGCTTGTCCTGGAGTTCTTGACATACTGGGCTCTAATTCTAGAGCAATGTGCACATGAAAGCAAATTGGGAATCCCCAAGTGTTCAATCCACAGCCCAGTCCCCATGACTCCCTTACTCCTTTTCCTGGGTACTTTGGAAACCATGGATCCCAGATCTGGCTCCTTGGTACCCCAACTCCAGATGGAATCTCACCTGGCTGATGAATGTGCCCAAGACTACAGAGCAGAAGATGAGGTTGCGGTAGATGCCTGAAAAGACGTTCTTCTCTCCATGGATCTTTCGGGAGTTGATCTCGTTGAAGAGCTGCATCAGCACGAAGGTGTTGAAAACAATGGTATAGTGCTGGGTAGGAGGCGAGTGCAGAGGTGCCTTCCTCCCACTGTCAATATCAAAGAGTTTCTCACCTGGTGGGGCGAGGAGAAGAATTGGAGGGTAAGTGTGGTCTGAACTAGAAGTCAGAACACATTGGTAAAGCCATGGCTGGTGTTTACTCTAATTGGTCAGTATCTGAGCTACATGAGTTACTAAACAGTCTGAATGCTAGCTCTGGCCTCAGCCTATCTGACCCTCTCGCTCAGTTTGCTCCGTTGATATTTGCCTTCATGCAATGTAGTATGGAGGTAAGACTGTGTGTGCTAGAGTCAGACAGACATAGGTTGGAATTTTAGTGCAACTATTTACTCATTCTGAGACTTGAGCTTCGTTTTTCTCATCCAATCAAAAAGAAATAATAAGGCCACCTTTGTGAAATTCTTAAGAGGCATACAGGGTTGGGCATGGTAGCTCATGTTTGTGATCCTAACGCTTTGGGAAGCCAAGGTAGGAGTTTGAGACCAGTCTGGGCAACATAGTGAGACCTTGCCTCTATAAAAAAATAAAATAATTAGCTGGGCATGGTGGTGCATATCTGTAGTCCCAGTTACTTGAGAGGTTAAAGTGGGAGGATCCCTTGAGCCCAGGAGTTTGAGGCTACAGTGAGCTACGATTACGCCACTACACTCCAGCTGGGCAACAGAGCGAGACCCTGTCTCTAAAAGAAAACAAAAAAACACCTGGGCATGGTGGTTCACACCTGTAATCCCAGAGCTTTGGGAGGCAGAGGTGAGAGGACTGTCTGAGCTCAGGGGTTTGAGACCAACCTGGGCAAAATGGTGAGACCTCGTCTTTACAATACATCAAAAAATTAGCTGAGTGTGGTGGTACACGCCTGGGGTTCCAGCTACTTGGAAGGTTGAGGGGAAAGGATTGCCTGTAGGAGCCCAGCAGGTTGAGGATGCGGTGGCTGTGAGCATGCCACCGCACTCCAGCATGGGCAACAGGGTGAGACTCTGACTTAAGAAAAATGAAAGAAAGAAAGAAAGAAAACAACAACAACAAAGAAGAGGAGTCCCTATGACAGTATAATGCATCGTGCAGTGGAGCACAGAGAGCACTCTGGAGGCGAAGCTGCCCTTCTTCCTGGTCTGCGCCGCTCGCTCTCATGCTACCTTCTCTCCTCAGGCCAGCCTCTGCCCCATCTCCACTAAGTAACCCCACCACTGCCCCAGTCCCACCCGTGGCTCACCAGCAAAGACAAGGAAAAAGATGACAGTAAGCTGATAGACCGCATGACCCAAGATGTTCTTCATCATAGTACGTGAGATCAGTGGCTTATTTCGGCCATAGGGGCGACGCTTCAACAGACATTCTGTTGGGGGCTCGGTGGCCAGGGCCAGTGAAGCAAAAGTGTCCATGATTAGATTCACCCACAACATCTGCACAGCTTTCAACGGGGAATCCTGGAGGGAAGAAGAACCAGTCCTTTTAGCCACCCCCATCTTGCCCTATAGACAGCCTTCCTCCCTCTAGCCACCTGTAGCCTTTGACTCTGGCCGCTTATTCACCGAGTGACCTTGAGAAAGTTACTTAGCCTCTTTGAGCCTCGGGTTCTTCAACATAAAGTGAGGATAATAATACCTAGCTTGCAGGGTTATTTTTGAAGAATAGAGATAGTATGCATAAATACTCATCATAGTGGCTGACACATAAGTTCTAGATTAATGGCAGATAAATTGTCATGATTCCACATAAGCATGTGGAGACAGTGGACCTAACTCCTGCCTAGCATCACTAGGGAAACCCTGTCATTCCTCCTCAGTAGCCACACTGTGCCCCGACCCCATGTAGCTCAGCCTCTGCCTCATCCCTGCCATCTCAGCCCACCCACACCCTTCACCTGAGTGATACAGGCTCCAGTGAAGGCCACGATCACAGCCACCACATTGACAGTGAGCTGGAACTGCAGGAACTTGGAGATGCTGTCATAGACGTTTCGTCCCCACATCACCGCCTTCACAATGCTGGTGAAGTTGTCATCTGTCAGAATGATGTCTGACGCCTCCTTTGCTACATCTGTGCCTGCAATACCCTGAAGTGAGACGAGGAAGGAAAACAGTGAGAAACTGGACACAGCAGAACTTACCCAGGTTCCAAACCTAGACTCCATTTCCTGACTTCCAGGAAACTTCAGAAGTAGGTGTAAAGACTAGGGGTATGCTAGCCAGAAGATGAAGAGAGAATATGTCACCATCACTATACAGAGAAGAGGGCTGGGGCTTGATGCCACTGCCTTATTCCTGAGCCCAGCCTGAGAATTATAGTCATCTTTGATATCCCTTTCTCCCTCCCCTTCCACTCCTTCTACCTGGAGACTAATTAAAAGGTAGGGAAGAAATCCTATCTTTCTTACTTTCAAATTCTTAAATTTCTGTTGCCACTGCCAATATCTCATTTAAGTCCTTGTCTCCCCCACACCTTTGAGAAACTCTATGTTCTGTTCTAGGAGTAGTCGTCTGGCAGCACAGTTCAGATGCTCCACCCTTGTTCAAACCCCATCACAGGGGAGCCACTAAAGTTTCTGAATGGACCTCTCAATGGTTGAAAGCCATGCTTCTCAAACAGTAAACTTTCTAGCCTGGCAGTCTATGCCCTCAGTAAGTGAACCCTGATTCATTCTCCAACCTGCTCTTCTAATAACCTTCCTGCTCAAAACCTACTGCACTCAGGAGGCGAAGCTGCTCTTCTTCCTGGCCTGCGCCCGCTCGCTCTCATGCTGCCTTCCCTCCTCAGGCCAGCCTCTTCCCCATCTCCACTGAGCACCCCCACTGCTGTCCTAACCCCACCAGCAAAGACAAGGAACTAGATGACAGCGAGCTGGTGTATTCACAATCCCCTGAATCTCCATTCACTTCTAGAGTCTACACTTCTCACATCGTTTCCCCAAGCCTGAAACTTCCTTTCTCCATCTATTTAAATCCTCTCTGTAAGGTCTCATTCAGCTAAATCTGAATGGTGCTGTGAAGCTGTCCCTCACATCCCCAGCCCATATTTCTATCACACATCTTGCAACTTCTATAACCCACAGAGGAGCTTATTCTTTAATCTGGCATGTTCTAGCACATTATTTGTTCTCTTCACCTGGCAGTATTATTTTTCCATTCAGACTGCAACAAATGAGTGTCTGTTAGATAGATTATACAACTCACTTTCCCCATCAGATCATTCCCCGAGTAGGTGTACCAGAGTGGTAAGGGAAGTATTCTCAATTAGATATCTGAGTAGAGATCTCAGTGAGGAGAGAGTGTGTCTGAGGATATACGAGTGCAGAGAATTCCAAGGAGAGGGGAAAGCAAGTGCAAAGAATCAAGGAAGAGAACCGGCTGCAGCAGTCTGAGCAAGAAGAGAGTAGCAGGAGACACAGTCAAAAGAGTAGTGGAAACAAAAGAAGGAAAACTTCCCTAGTACAGTCACACAATGCCGATCAATGGCTCTGTACAACCAAATGAGCAATATGATTATATAGTGACTATTATGAAATAATCTCCAAGTTATGGTGTTAAGTGAAGAAAACGAGGTGGAAAATAGAGTGTAGAGTATGGTGTTACTTATCTACAGGGCGGGCCATACATATATTACACCCTTGATTACCTTTTAAAGAAGCAGATAGAAGGAAAAACTAAAAACTAAATAAAAAAATGACCTGTGGAGTGAAGAGGGAATCAACAGGCAACTGGCTTAGAAGTCAGATTTCTATGGATATACCTTGTTTTCTCTATTTTACTTTAGAACCATGAGACTATTTTATATAATTAGAAAACATATTTAAAATTTCTAAAATGGAAACAACATGGTACACACCAACTAGAAAAGTCACCTGATAGTACAACTGCACAAAAGAAAGATGTTACAAGTGACTTTAAAACATAGTAGTCTGCTGGTACATTCCTAGTAGGATATACCTATGGATAAAAAGAACTGTAAGAAAAATATTTAACTGTCTTTAGTGGAGTGACTGTATTATTATTATTATTTTTGTTATTTTGAAACTATTAAATATATATGAAGATAAAGCATAAAAATGATATTAATGCCATTAGAAATAAAAATTTTCAGCTTGAAATGAGATACAAACATAAAATTAAACAAACTTAGAAAGTTAGAAATTGGGAAGTTAGGATTCTACTATTTATTTATTTAGAATTGAGGTCTCACTCTGTAGCCTAGACCTAGGAGGGCAATGGTACTATCATAGTTCACCACAGCCTTGAACTCTTGGGCTCAAGTGATCCTCTTTCCTCAGCTTCTTGAGTAGCTGGGATTACAGGCACACTCCACTCTCTCTGGCTAATTCTGATTTTTTTGTAGAGGTGAGGTCTTGGTATGTTGCTCAGGCCGGTCTCAAATTCCTTGGTTCAAGCGATCCTCTTGCCTCGGATTCCCAAAGTGCTAGGATTACAGGCGTGAGTTACCGTATGTTCCCATTCAAGAATCTGCATTTCTCTAGGTCTGTACAGAAATCTACTACATAGCTGTACTACTGGTTCAGCTGGAAGGAGGAGCACATTTCAAGAGCCATTGCTATAGATTAAGAGATTGGCTGGGTACGGTGGCTCCCATTTGTAATCCTAGCACTTTGGGAGGCTGAGGTGGGAGGCTCACTTAAGTCCCGGAGTTTGAGACCAGCCTGGGCAACATAGCAAGACCCTGTCTCTACAAAAAAAAAGAAAAAGAAAAAAAAAGATAGACAAGTCAATGTATGGATATAATTTGGATCTTGATTTGGATAAATAAATTATAAAAACAGCATTTATGAATCAATTAGGAAAATGCAAACACTGGCTAGGAATTTGAAGATAGTAAGGGAATATCAATTTTGTTATGAGATAATGGTATTGTGCTTTTTTTTTTAAAAGAGAATCTTGCTCTGTGCTAAGGCTGGAATGCAATAGCATGATCACGCCTTGCTGTAACTTCGACCTCCTGGGCTTACGCAATGCTACCACCTCAGCCTCCCAAGTAGTTGGGACTGTAGGCATGTGTCATCAGGCCTGGCTAAATTTTTCATTTTTTGTAGAGACAGAGTCTTCCTATATTGCCCAGGCTGGTCTCAAACCTCTGATCTCAAGCTATCCTCCCACCTCAGTCTTCCCAAGTGCTGAGATTACAGGCATCAGCCACCGTGCCCAACCTACAATTCTTTTAAATATATTTTACTGATATATATATATCATTTAGAGACATGTACTGACATTTTTATAGATAAAATTGATGAATGATGCCTTAAATTTGCTTCAAAATAATTCAGCTGGAGATGTGGGAAATAGGTGGGTGGGGGGTAGTCAGTGAAACAAGGCTGGCCAGGGTTGATAGTTGAAGCCGAGTGATGTGCACATGGGGATTCATTATACAATTCTTTCTACTTTTGCATATTCTTGAAATTTCCTAGAATAAAAAACTTATTTAAAAAAGAGAGTACCCTAAAGATAGATTACTTTTAAAATATTCTTCTACTGCTTAAAAACCACCAACAAGCTCAGTCTGCATGGGAGGTTGACTGCCAATCACAAGCTACTTGAGTATGAGATGCAATCTGGGGGCTTCTAAATCTCCCTGAATGTCAGAGTTCATTAGTGTGCCTGTTAAAAAAAAATTCTGAGCCAGGCTTGGTGGCTCAGCCTGTAATCCCGCGCCTTGGGAGGCTGAGGTGAGTGGATTGCCTGAGCCCGCGGGTTCGAGACCCGCCTGGGCAACTTGGTGAGACCTCATCTCCACAATAAATCAGAAAATTAGCCGGGTGTGGTAGCGCGCGCCTGTAGTTCCAGCTACTCGGAAGGCTGAGGCGGAAGGATCGTCGGAGCCCAGCAGGCTGAGGCTGCGGTGGCTGGGAGCAGCC